GAGCTTGACTAGCCACTGCAAATTCTGATAATTTCTTTTCAAATGATACAAATGTTAGAGAATTTCATGTGAAGTTAGCTGCAACTCAGAGTACAACAGACTTTTGTGTTTCTTCTTGTTATATTTTTTCAGTAAAAATCTGCAGAGGTTAGAAGAGGCTACAGTGAAGTTTGATACTGAGACTTCTTGTTCTTTATTTTTCTTGAGAGGTTGGATTTTGCGCTCCAGTCATAACACAGATCATCATGAGAGATTTGGCACTTAATGGAGAAAGTATCAAATCCAACTGTCTCTGAAAATATTTGTATTTAATGACCAGGTGAGAGAGTGAATGACTGAACAAAATAGGTCCATTTCAAAATCAAAAAGCACCCTAATCCTAACAAAATAATCATGATCATGCTTGTAAGGTACAGTATGGAACTTTTTGGAAGTGGCATGTAACCTGCATAATTCCATGAAAATAGAAAGTTAAAACTATACTTTAGAACAGACTCCAAGGAAATAGTTCTATGCCTTAACTGTGGAAAATTATAGAAAAAACAAAATTTCTCTAGAAACAAGCAGAAGGGGGCCATTCTCCAGGCCAAATAAGAATCAGGATTGTGGAGATGCAAGCCAACTCAAGGAAAAGATGCATGGTTTTCTAAGTTTTTTTTTATTTAAAAAGTGTTTGAATTGAGTCTATTTTTGGGTTACAAGTTACAGATTGGAGCTTTAAATAGCATATGTTCCATCGCGGAAGTGGATTTTTTCTGCCAAAAATTGTACTCAAGTGTAACTTTACTTCAAAATAATATTACTGCTAAAATGTTTAAAGTGTCAAATATACTACTTTAATACGAGTTAAAGTTTGGTGTCTGCAAACTACTCAAAGAAGTATAGATTTTTCAAAAGAAAATGTAACTGAGTACTATCTACCTGTTTCATTCACTAGTATTTCTACACAGTTTCCGTGGTGTAAGTCTAATTTTGAGATCAGGTAAAAATTTGGAGAAAGTGGTTTGAAGGTTTGACAGCAGACCCACAGCAGTGAGTGGATTGACAGGGCCAGTGGTTGCCTGTGTGAACCCCGGGCTTGCGTCAGCTAATCTTGTGAATAATGCAAAATCATGAATAAACATCGCGCCGAGTCGCACAGTACAGAAGACCTGCCTCTTTTTTTCACTCTCCCTCCATCTTCCCGCCTTTTCTCTTTTACACAAAAACTCCTTCCTTCCCAGGCCCAATCAAACACTCCCACCATTTCCCTCTTTCTCTCTCTCTTCCTCCGTCTCTCACTTTCTCTCTCGCCTCTCGCTCCACCATCCTCTCTCTCGCTCTCTGTCTCGCTCCCCTCTCCCTCGCTCTTTCTCTTACCCCTCACTCCCTCCCTCCAATCCAATCTCTCACCTCCTCCCTCCCTCCGTCCCTCCTCTTCTCTCCCTTTCTCCCTTCTCTCCCTTCCTGTCTCTCTCTCCTCCTTTCTTTGGCCCAGTCTGACACACATTGTAGTGGACGAGCGACAGGGTAAAGAAGCCTATATGAGCTCAATGGCAGCCCTGGTAGAGTCTCAGAGCAGCACAAAGCCTGCCCACTGGGAATAGGCCCACAAAAGGCAAAGGGGGCTGTGCTCTTCTTTTGCTCGGCCGCGTCTGAAGGGTCCGGGCCGCTCCACCTCCTATAAATAATACAACAGAGCACAACAAAAAGAGGAGAGAAAAACACTGCCACCGCATCAGCCTGTGCTACAAGCTGGTCCCAACTTTTCTGTATGCCCCTGCTGCGTCCCTCTGTCGTCTAGAAACACCACTGCAAGTACAGCAGAAAACTGAAAATTAAAGGTGCTCTATGTAACTTAGGCTGGAATCTTCCACTGTACGGCATTAAACTTGTCTGCCTTCAAGGAGACTAGCAGGTGGTGCCAGCTATCAAGTTACAGGTCAGGTCAGGTTTTGCAACGTGTTTTTACCTCCACAGTTCAAAGTTGACACATACATCTTTGAAACCTTTGTCATTTTAATATAACGTTTATACTTATAACTTTTTTAAACACACAAATAGAAAAAAACATGTCTCTTATATTATGATGTTTGTTCTAGTCTTAGCCAATATAAAAAGGGAAGCATGCATTTTAAATTTCCAGTGGCGTAACATTGGAATCTCATTGGAATCCCCTCCCTCCTCTCGTTCTGCTCTGGTCCAGTCCAGGACAAACAAACTGGTTTCATAAAAGCAAAAGCTGAGAGGACACACAGCCTCCGAGGGGTGACTTCCACTGGACACAGCTTACAGCAAATCAACACACATTTATGTGGGAGAGTTTTAGTGCAACAGCAAACACAATGTTAGAGATAGTAGTGGCAATTATAAAGGTTGTCAAAAATAAATAAATCAAAGATCACTACTAAAACTATAGTATCAAAAAACTACACTCATCTGAAAAAAATGACATGAACAGAACAAAGTTGGATTTTTAAATAGTTTCAAATGTTATGTCAAGATATAGTTTTATTATTGTAGTATGAAAATGTGGATCTACTTATATCTACTTTTTAAATTTTCTGTGATTTAATTCTAAAAGTAGCACATTTCCTTTAGTTATTGAAAATACAATTATGAAGTAAAATACTAAAATACAGCAACTATTTATTTTACTATGAAATGTGTTAAGATTTGTAAAGTAATGTAGCATGTGCTGATTATTTGGCACAACAGATCAAACGCAACTTATAATTTGGACATTTGCAGATGAAAAGTGCCATGTTTTTGCACCTGTCACTCATTATGTGTCTAATCTTCAGAGCGCAGTGCAGTGTGTATCCGGAGTCCATCATTAGACTCACCATTATCTCCCTGCCTGACCTCTGACCCTCTTATTACATGCAAATAGGCCTGCTTTATGTGCACCTCAAACTAGACCCCCACTCACAGAGAAAGGGGTGCTCTGGCTCCGCACTCAAAGACATCTCTCCATCCATCTCCCATTCTGTGTGTCAATGCAGACCGCGGATCTCATGATGTCAGCATTCAAAGCAGGCCATGCAGGAGGATTGGAAGCAAATAATTAAGAGAGTTTGTACCAAAGACTTCAAAACATATAGTTAATGGAGCAGGGTTTTCTCTTGAATGGGCCCAAAGAGGCACTAGGCGTTTGACAAATTTGAGGCTGCAGTGATTTCAAACAAGTACTGCTGTACAGACCTATGAAGTTAGTTTGAGTAGTAGAGCTAATGTTGACAATGGATTATTGTATTGGTTCCAGATGCCAGAGATACAAATTCAGACAGAAATGAACTACTTAAAATCAATAATTCATTTCCATACCTAATTTCACATTTAGTATCAATTAAGTAAAATTAGTTATTAGTAAAGAAAAAAATAATAATTTTCCATCTCTAACATAAGTCCACAGAATATACACGGCTGGATATACACGGTCAAAAGTTTTAGAACACCACACTTTTTCCAGGGTTTTTTACTGTTTACTGTTTACTTTGTTGACTAAAACATATTCTAAACTTCTGATTCATGAAAGTGTCCGCCTTTGGCAGATATAACAGCTGAACACATTCGTGGCTCGTTCTTTTTACAACAGAAATCAATTATTCTTCAGAAATTCTTCCCAAGTCTGTTGCAGAGGTTCCCATAAATGTGTTGCACTTGTAGGATGCTTGGCTTTCACTCTTCTGTCCAATTCATCCCAAAACCAACTCAATGGGGTTTAAGTCTGGAGGCTGTGCTGGCCACTCTGTGTTTTCAAGCTTAACATCTTGTTCTTTTTTCCTGAGCTAGTTTTGGCAGAGCTTGGACTTGTGTTTTATTATCTTTTATCTTTTTTTAACCTCTGGCTGTTCAGTACCTACCTTTGTACAATTTCAAGCTGTTCATTGGACTTGCACGACTTAAACTGCAATAAATAACTGAAAAAACGAGGGTGTTCTAAAACGTCTGACTGGTAGTGTATATGGTCTATTTAAAGCTGTATAATGGTAATTGATCACATTTTTACATATTGCAAAGCACTTTACATCAGTTCAGTCACCCATTCACACACACATTCGTACACCAGTGTATGCAAACACTGCAGCATTTATCTGCTGAAGCTGGAATCACACTGCCAACCTGTGGGTCAGTGAATCTGACCACTCAAACAATGATGTTTATGTTGAGAATGAGCTTTGAACCGCCAACCTTTAGATCAATGGACAAACACTGCCAATTGAGCTACTGTCGCCCCATATGATTAATACATCAGATAAAAATTGATACAGTTCCCAAAACAAACGTATACAAATATAAATCTATATTAAACAGTTCAGTTTGTTTATTTGAGTATCATGAAGTGGATCAAGTGTAAACTACAATAAACTCCACGCACTCTCATAAACTAGTATTGACACTTGATACTCGCTTAAAAACACATCAAAATAGTGTTTATAATTGTGATACTAAAACCAAAATAGAGCATCAAGACTACTATAGAAAACACAAGTTCATATGTGTGATTCTTCTAGTCCTGGAGCACAGTGCATCGAGCCACTGCAAATGAAACCCTCCCTCCCTCTTACCCACTAATAAATATTGTCAGCATATTCTCAAGTCATATAAACTCATTTGACTGCAACCACATGTACCAAATTTTCCATCAAAGCATCCAGCCAGCAATTACTCTTCACATTTTATTAAAACTCAGTCAAAAAGTGCATGCATATTTACTTTGCACACAGTAGCCTTCGGATCCACCGACTATAAACAGAATCTCATTTCAGAAAACCCTTCCAAAAACCCAAACAAATCATCCAAGTTTTGAAGTCGCACCAACTCATCCAAAACACACAACATCTACTGCCAGAGTTCCAGAGTTTTCCCCCCAAAAATATACTCTTTCTTTCTGTCTGTCTGTCATCTTTTCCTCCTCCTCTCTCTCTCTTTTTCTCCTATCTCTTTGTTTACCTCATTTGAGCATGTAAAGCAGCGCTGTGGAGTTGTTGTGTTGTCACGGTAACGAGATGCATTACCTGTCAGGCGGTGGGGATGAGCAGAATTCCGCCCCCGGTCAGTGTTTGGTGCCTGAGGGGGCTTTTCCGTGACTGTTCCTCCGAGCGCACACCTGGATACTGTCTCCACTCTCCGTCTGCAGTTTGACATTTGGAACGGTGAAGATAGAAGACACTGTGAGGCAAAAAACACAAGATTATACAGTATGTCAAATGATGAAATGGAAAATATAAGAATGCGGATTTCAGAGTGAGTTGTTACAAATATAGATGGTTGTTAAATGAGCGTTTGGGGGCTTGTTTGCAGCAGTAGGAGATATTGGAGCGAGTTGCGTCATTACACTGAGATACTTGAGGTTGCACGAAAATAGTTCAGTAATAATTTGACGACAAAACATTTGCGTCTTTCAGATATTTTTGTAGCAAGAGAAAATGCACCATGGGATTGGGTATGATTGTGAATAACAGCGAAATACTTCTAGCTACAAATTGTACTCAAGTAAGAACAAAACCACTTTGAAATAATATTACTCAAGTAGATGTGAAAAGTAGTAGTCCAAGAAATTGCTCAAATATGAGTAAAAAGTATACTACTAAAGAAAGAAAAACTGTATGTGTAACTGTGTGGACATACAATCTGATGTATAATATGAAGTTAATGAATTTGGAGGGAATGGACAATATTATTTTGACATACACAGTGGAAAGAGTGACCAAAATCTTTACTCAAGTAAGAGTACTCTTAATTACTCAAGCAAATGTAACTGAATAAATGTAACTAAGTACAACCCACAACCCTGCTAACCAGTGCTATTGTACCATACTATCATAAACCAGGGTTTTGTGTATACAGACTAGAGGATCATGATGTTCTGAGCAAACTACACTTTTAGAATCTGTCCTTGAGGTTGCCCTTGAAAGCTGTCAGTTAAAAGCAGGAGGAAATACAGGCAGGTTTTCAGTGAGAATTTCTTATAGGAGCTATATCTGATGTTTTTGATCCAATGTGTGCATTTTTTCCCTCTAGTAGATATAGTGCAAAAGCATCTCTTAAGGTTTAATCACAAAGCATTTTTATTTACTACTAATACTAATACTACACGCTAAATGAATGAACTGAAGTGAACTATAACACTTTACAACTTCTTTTGAAAGCTTCTCTCTCTCCTCCACTGAGCTGCTGTATCCAAACTCTGTCCATTGTTCTTAATAAACACATGAATCCTGAGAGGACTTCATTTTGCCCTTTTCCTCTCTCTCCCCTCACTGTCGGACGCCCACACTCGCTCAAATCAAATTAAAAATGTCACCCTCCGATCCGTGCAGTAGCAGCGACCTCGGGAGTGCTATTGTCTTGTATAATTCTACTTTTGTGTTCCGTAATCTGGCCTGCTATTGTTTGGATTAATCCATAACACTGGGGAGAAAAGGGAGCACAGGCGATCGCTCAAACATACTGTTAATCTGAGCCGGGACTGGCACGCTCCACAATGACTTCATCAGAGCCCTGAACATTTAGAGTGGGATCAACTCAAACTGGAGATTATTCTTATAGGGCAAGTAAGGCTTTCTCTCTCAATAATATTAACAATTAATGGTGTGCTAGTACTAAAACATAAAAATCATGAACAAATTAGATACATTTTCAGGTAATGGTTTAAAGCTGCACACAGCTACTTTTCTGGTGGAAGGTCCGCCACTCGCTGTTCTACCTGGAAATGACAGGGCTTAAATGACAGTGCTTTGCCTGTGAGGTTCCGCAGTATGACATTAAGTGTTTCCACCTCCACAGAGATGAACATATGATGTGACCAGTAGAAGTTGATGGTTAGATCTGTGGAGAGCTGAACCTGCTCACAGTAAGAAAAGTTGAATCTTGTGCACATTAATTCTTGAGAACATCTTTAAAAAAATTTGTTTCAAACCAGATCAACATTGGACTATGACAATGTTGAAAAAGGCATTCTATTCTATTCCATTCAATTATTTTACTCTAACCCAGGGGCACCAAACCATTTTTCTTTGGCAGGCAAAAATGAATACATGCTAGCGAACCAAGGTCCAAACCTATGAATGAATTAGACCCTTCAAGGGTCAAGTTGTGGGCACCCCTGGGGTAACCTTAACATCTATTCCACTGTTACACAGAAAACTTTATTTAATGTATGAAACAATTTTTGAAAAGACTGTGTATTTGTTTGCCTATCTACACTTTATGAGGCACTGATTGAACCTGTGTAATTGAATGTTGAGGGGAGGTCCAGCAGCACGTCTGACTCAGTATGGTGCTATTTGCATAAACCGCCGCCAAATGCTCACCAAGCATTAATTAGCTACATCTTTATCTCCCGTCCAGCGCTCATTTGCATAATTTTGACATGTTCCCCCCTTCGCTCTCCTGTAAAAATACACACACACATTTACATAGATCCCATTTACTGGTGTTTATCCAATGTCGTCCTCATTTTGTGCTACTATTTTAATTCCACTTTGCTGCATTGAGTTTGATAAAGTGAAAGGGAGAAGAAAGAGACAGTTGGAGCAACGAAAGATGACAAAAATCAAAATGGAGTCATGGCTGTCTATGCTAGTGACCGCTCTCTCATTCACACACACGAGCCAACCTGCTGAGCGCTGATAACAGGATTAATAAGACTGAAAAATCCTAATCGGCGAGAATTAAAAGCGGAATATTGCTGTTAAAATTACAGTGGTGTCAGAGGCAGGTTAGCATGCGGAGCTAATGAATACAAGCTTATAGGATTGGTGATGTATGTTAGTGTAACCTGTCAAGTGATTTGAAACTGGCAAACGCTTGCTCCCGACTATAACCTCATTCTGTAGGATTAATTGAAATGTAGCAGAAAAGATTAAGCTCAGGCCTGGTACTTTCACGTGGTACTATATGAGTTCATGTAGTGAGTTATGTAATATATTTCTACCTCCATAGATACTTCAAGCTGCACTATGTGACTTCTTTGGTGGAGGGTTCATCACTTGCTTGATTTTGATGTTCCACAATATGGTACTAAATGTAATTAAATGTATTCATCTCCATGGAAACAAGCAGGTGACACCATCAGGATGAGTGACAGGTCCAATCTGTGTAGAGACGAGCCCACTCACAGTAAGAAAGCATAGTTGTCTAGATTTTTTTTTTTTCTTTGTTCACTGAGACAAAAGGGTGGCCAACTCTCCACCCAAAAAGCTCCATAATACACTTTTAAGTAGTATGGGTTGTCTTCACAATTTGAGATTGTGTTAAATTCCCTGATGCTCTGCAGAAATAATTGGAGGAACATGCATACATGAATGAATATTTTAAGTTTAAAAGTAAGCAGTTGTGTGATAATTGTTCACAACTACCCTCTTAATAATTCTACACTACCACATTAAAGACATCAAGGTACACAGCGCCCCTAGAGGCCTGAAACCAGTCTAGTTTGCAGTATCTGAATTTATCTATCATGATGTAAACAAGCCCTGAGTTGCCACTTACTGCATTTTCAATACAAAAGTTGGAAGTGCATAATATTAAAGTTAGTGAGGGGTGTTTTTTTTTTCTCTCTCTCTCTTCAGCTGACCCATATTCAGCGTGCAGATGCTGTGGGCTAATAACAAGTGAATCCAATGGAGAATCCAATGGAGAATCCAATGGAGCGTGTTACAGGGGCCAGCAGAGGTCCGGCCGGGCTCACTGTCCCACAGGCTCCTCTGTAATCACACAGGCTCTACAGGAGCAAAACAACCCCAGGACTGGAGCTCTCAGATGGAGGGAGAGGGGAGGAGAGGGGAGGAGAGGGGAGGACAAGAGAGTATGGAGGAGAGGGGCGAGTGAGAGAACCAGAGGAGTTAAGGAATAATGAGAAATGTAACAAAGATAAACCAAGGGCTGATGAAGAAATGAGGAAAAATTAATCAAGAGAAAGTCCAGAGTTCTATTGTGTAACTTACCTTTAAAAGATAAAACATTCAGTTGAAGTTACACTATATCATAAACACTGTCTTCCAATCACAACAATTCATTGGTTCATTCATTTTAAAAGGCTTGCCATGGTTCATTGTAGCACTGTACAGTAATTATTCACAGCTATGTTCATAAACTTATCATCAATAAAACGCTTCATAATTAAATGCAGATAGAGGTCTCATCTTGAACTCAAGAATGGCATTATATCAGTATCTGGACTGGGACAAATCTAATTTTGCTCAACTACATAATCAGTCAAATGTTTGGACACACCCTCTGCTTTCTTTATGTTTACCACTTTCTACATTCCTACATATGGAAGACATCAGTTATGTGATGCAAGAATGTGGAATTATGTTGTAAAGGAAAAAAGTTAAATATCTAAACAAAGTATTTTTATATTCTATATTCAAATCCTAAAAATCAAGAAATGTCAAAAGTGAAAACCAGGGTTCAAAGTAAAGCGTGGCTACTTTTTAAGCTTTGAGTTATTTTGAGTTCTTTTTTTTTGTTTGTTTGTTTACTGCATTCATTATGTGTCTATTCATATTTTTAAAGCCTTCAGAGTGAATCTACAATGTAAATAATCATGGAAATTAAGAAGAAAAATAAATGAAAAAGTGTGTCCAAACTTTTCACTGGTAGTTTACATGGAAAAAAGAGGGTAGTACAGCCACCTTAATAAATCTACTGTTCATGTTAATATGAGCTAGAAAAGCAAAACAACCTTCCCTCTATTCTACAGTTTGTTCAGGAATACACATTTTGTTTGATATTTGTTAAACAGCTCTTATAATACTGTGAAGTAA